TTTAGATAATTATTGTAATATTTAGTCTTTCCTTTTTTATATAGGAATTCATAGTTTCCTATATTTTATGTAATTAGGAGTTTATGTTTTAGTTTGCTTGTTAAGGAGAGTTTCTCACCTTTATTTAAAAGGTGGCTAGGGTTTTATTTTCTTTAAGTAAGAAAAACAATAATATTTTTTCTTCTTCTAAAATTGACTCCACACTTTTATACAATTCCTTAGAAGAGAAAGTTACCCAAGATTCGCATACTTGAGGTTGGTGAAATAGGAATTAATGAGGGGTTTAATGAGTTTAGGTTGGATGTTGCAAATGCTTCGAAGGACGGTCAACTAATGACAGAAATGGAGATCATGCAGATACCTTGCAATAATGAAAATTTTTTTAGAATTCCAAATATCATTACTGACCCCAATGGCCTTCAAGGTAGTAAGCTTAAGTCTAAAAGAATGAGGAAGGCTTTTTCAGTCATGAAGGAGGCCAAAAGATTTATTAAGTCTTTTCCACTTTTTTATACTAGGCGTAATTACAAGACATGCGCTTTTAATGTGGCTGGGTCTTCAAATGTGATTGAAGATTTGAGGATAAACTTGAATGGGACTTTTAATGATGAAGGAGATGCAAATCATAAAATTTTGGAAGGTAATCTAAGTAAAGAAATAGTGCACATTGAAATTCCATGTCCTCTCTCGCTTGGGGTTATCAATTCTACAAACAATTCCTTGGAACATGGCTTTAAGACGCTATGTCTCTCAGATAATGATGAGGAAGACTTAAATGTTAATGTCAGTAGTTTGGATTCACCCAATGGTTTGGACCTTTCAAACGTCAAAGTTGTGGATTTTTCAGAATATGCTTTTAATGAAGAATTGCATAATCTCTTCAATGAGCATAAGGGAGTCGTAAAGACAATAGAAAAGACATAAGGGGTTGAGGGGTTGCCCCTTTTCATCAAAAGGATTGGATGGAAGATGAAGAGTCCTAGAACGGTGAATGTTTTGCTTTGATTGGTGATGCAAGGTAGGCTTAATGTGGCTGATTGGCTTCAAAGGAAGTGTCTTTTTTGTTGCAAGTCCGAAGGTGTGTGTTTTATGTTCAAAAGAAGGGGAAAATATCAATTACATTTTTTCCCATTGTCTGGAAAATGGCAAAATTTGGTCAGAATTGTTTCAAGTTGTTGGTTTTGCTTTGGCCTTCACTATTGGTGCATCCAATAATTTAGTTCCTCCTCCGGAATGGTATGAGCTTGGAGGAAAGGAAAGTCTTGCCGATCAATTCTAATTGGGAGGCTTTTTTGTGTAATGTTTAGTCTTCCTTTCATTCTCTGTACTTAAAGTTTGGCTTGATTGTATCTTTATTTTTATTTTTTTTCCTTTTTCTTCTTCCTCCCCATTCATTTTTCACCGTACCTAAGTTTGGCTTGATTGTATCTTTATCTTTATTTTTATTTTTTTATCTTCTTCCTCCCCATTCATTTCATCCCTTTGGGAGTTTGTATCTTTGAATAATTTTTGTTCCTTTCCATTTATGAATGAAAAGTTCGTTTCATGTTAAAAAGATTTTTTTTTTTGTTAAAGGCTGCATTGTGGCCTGTGGGGCATTTGGAAGGAAAGAAATTCACTTTCGAAGATAAAAGCTTTATATGGGAGGAGAGGCTTCTGTCAAGGTATCTTATTAGGATAATGGTTGAAAAGAAATTGGTGAATCTTTGAAGATAAATTTCTCTTTTGGAATGAGCGGTTGATTTGATTAAATTCAAGTCCTCAAGATGGTGTTCTTTGTCCTCTATTTTTGATAATTATACTAGCAATAGCCATCGTAGGTGACTCATTGGTCCAAAATGACCGGGGTTAATTAAGAGAGAATGAGTTTAAACCCCATGATGGCGACCTATCTTAGGAATTAGTAATTCCTAAGTGTTTCTCGGCACCAAATATTGTAAGGTCAGGCGGTTGCCCTGTGAGATTAGTCGATGTGTGCGTAAGTTGGC